AGTGGTGTCGTATATGAACAATATTTTGTAACTCAGTGGTGTCGAGTATTAACAATATTTTGTAACTCAGTGTTGTCGAGTATTAACAATATTTTGTAACTCAGTGGTGTCGAATATGAACAATATTTTGTAACTCAGTGGTGTCGTATATGAACAATATTTTGTAACTCAGTGGTGTCGTATATGAACAGTATTTTGTAACTCAGTGTTGTCGAGTATTAACAATATTTTGTAACTCAGTGGTGTCGAATATGAACAATATTTTGTAACTCAGTGGTGTCGTATATAAACAATATTTTGTAACTCAGTGTTGTCGTATATGAACAATATTGTGTAACTCAGTGTTGTCGTATATGAACAATATTTTGTAACTCAGTGGTGTCGAATATGAACAATATTTTGTAACTCAGTGGTGTCGAATATGAACAATATTTTGTAACTCAGTGGTGTCGTATATGAACAATATTTTGTAACTCAGTGGTGTCGTATATAAACAGTATTTTGTAACTCAGTGGTGTCGTATATGAACAATATTTTGTAACTCAGTGGTGTCGTATATGAACAATATTGTGTAACTCAGTGGTGTCGTATATGAACAATATTGTGTAACTCAGTGGTGTCGTATATGAACAATATTTGGTAACTCAGTGTTGTCGAGTATTAACAATATTTTGTAACTCAGTGGTGTCGTATATGAACAATATTTGGTAACTCAGTGTTGTCGTATATGAACAATATTTTGTAACTCAGTGGTGTCGAGTATGAACAATATTTTGTAACTCAGTGGTGTCGTATATGAACAATATTTTGTAACTCGATGATGTGTTTCTCGTGCAGAATATTAACATAGTTGTAAATATATACGTTTGAAACAAATTGTGATTTCTACGTTATCAGTCTATTGCTAGTATTCACACAACTATTGTTATTTAAGTCTTTTGACACATACATGCTGATAGGCTCCTCTATTCTTAACGACAATTTAGTTTCAGGACTCCCTATTGGCCCGGTACTTTATGTTAGGAACAAAATTAATCAGTTAGACTGAAAACGAGGAAAATTATTTAACGTTTAAAACACATAAGGTGAAAGTTTTAGTAAGTGATTAATTAGTTGGATTAGTAGACTTGCGTCTTTTATACCCACAGCCGTTAAATGTGACTGTGGTCGTGAAGCTATGTATAAAATGTTTGTAGTTTAAGTACAAAACCACACGTGATCTGCCCACCACGGGTATCGTAACCCGGTTTCTAGCTTTGTAAATCCGCAGACATACCGCTAGGAGGAGGCAAAATGTTCATAGAATACCTGCAAAATTAATTTTTGCCCACGAACCTGAGGTGAAACGAACATTTTCAAGAAGATTATTATTTTAGCAACTTACCAAATAAGGTATATTTCATCGACATGCGCAGTTTGGCTAAGGTTGTACTTATCATCAAACAATCCAAGCCTTTTGTTGGAATTTCAATGTTTGTACAAACGAACTCAGAATTTTTGTTTTAAAGATAAAAAAAAAATCAATGTAATCAGATTCTAAATTTAATTTATACAAAAATTATTTCTATTTAAAACTAGTAATACACTGAGTTGAAAGTCAACGCAAAAAAAAAGTCTATATTTAAAATAGTTTTAAAAAGGCTTAATCTTCACCAATTAGCTTAGTCATAAATTATTTGTTTATTAGATCTCTTCTTATGAAGCTAAATTTTTTAAGAATATTTTCTACTTCTGTTATTCCAACAATGCAAGAAAAGTGTTTCTTTCTGTGGTACTTTTTAGTTTTTTTAATTTGTTGTTACTGAAAGTAATAGAATATAGAAAATATCTACGTAAAGAAAACATTTGATAACAGAAAAATGAATATCTTATCTTTGCAAGTCTGAGACACTAAACACGATTATACTTTATTTTCTCAAATTGTCTTACGATAAAAACTCACGAAATCTTATCTATTCTTTCTCTCTGTCTTTCTTCATTATATGTTTCCATTGTTTCATTTTCTTTCTATCTTTATCTTTATGTGTTAGTCTAAGCAGCACCAAAATTTGGTATCAAGTACTTATGGCAAAAAAAAAAAAGGTCCGACGATTTGGCAGTATTTTACCCGACAACTCTTATTGACAAATATGAAAAGTACTAAACCTGGTAGTTGAATTGAGCACAAGATGGCGCCACCGTCAAATGTTTTCTATTCCGGTGTCAACTAATGCACTGATACTTAAATTATAACTGCTAAGCATGACATTATAGTCCTTTCCTAGATATTTTTTGAGCATTTGAAGGATTATTTTATCCTTCAGGGCCAACGGGTGGAGATGAAATATTTAATCTTCCTTATTCACTGTCTTCCTTTTTGGCATCGACACCATTTCCCGAAACGAAGGCGGTGGCTGAAGTCTGATAATTGTTCAAGTGACTTTCAATGTAGTTGAGTGACTCTGTGAGAATGTTTTGAACTGTGGAAAGAGCAGCGACCACCGCTGGACTACCGAACCCGTGAGTTATAAGGGAGAATTGCGTCAGATGGCACTGGACGTTAGGGTCCAAGATGATTTGAGGCCTAGTATTGCACAGAGGTGACCTGTCTTGATTTAGGAGGTCAACAAACTCTTTCAAAGTTTGTCTGTTGCAAAAAAAAGAAACAATTAATTACGTCAACTCGATAACTTAAGAAGTGAATTGAGAAATTATTAATAATTTCTAACAATTCTGATCCATTTAAAAAATATATACTTTGTGGTTTCTTTGTGCTAATATTATTTCTTTAGTTTTCATGTACCTTTAAATATAAACTCACATAGAATATTCACATCACCAACAGGGGGCATAGTAGAGTATATTAGATTCATATAATCAACAGGGGACATACTAGAGTATATTAGATTCATATAATAAACAACAACAAAGGGCATAGTAGAGTATATTAGATTCATATAATCAACAAGGGGACATACTACAGTATATTAGATTCATATAATCAACAAGGGGCATAGTAGAGTATATTAGATTCATATAATCAACAAGGGACATACTAGAGTATATTAGATTCATATAATCAACAAGGGGACATACTAGCGTATATTAGATTCACATCACCAACAGGGGACACACAAGATTACATTAGATTACCATCATCAATAGGGAGACATACTAGCGTATATTAGATTCACATCACCAACAGGGGTCACACAAGATTACATTAGATTAACATCATCAACAGGGAGACATATTAGATTCACACCATCAACAGGGGGACACACAAGAAGTGAGATTTGAAAGAAATAAAGGTAATAATATTATATCACGATAAGATGTAAACAAATAGACCTTAAGATATAGTCAGTAATGTTTTCCTAAGATAAAATAATCCACGTTTGTTAATAATAAGCATTATGTAAATATTTTTAAAGTTTTATTCAGATGGTCTTATGAGTGAAATGGATACGAAAAATTTCGCTGTCACCAAGAGACCTCTATTGGATGTTTATCTTTTTTAATAATATAAAACACTTACTTTGTAGCCAGTATGAGTTCTTTTCTTCTGTACATTTCCGTTGCATCGTTGTCGTGGTGACGGCACAGATATTCTGCCACCTGGCGGGAAGGAAACTCCGTCTCACACACGTACCCAAAATCTCGTGCCATGTGGACAGCTTCGCCTGGAATTTGACATCGTAAACGTTCAAGTTTATTTATGTGTGAAATATACTCTTTCAAAATATGTAAACTCTGTTCGGGCAACATGTCTCTTCGCAAAGTGCCCCTACTGAAGAGAACTCTCTCCAAATGTCTCTTGGTAGTGTCAGGAAACTCTTTACATAACATGTCACTAGAGTAACTGTACGTTAAAGAAAGCGGGAAAAGTGTTGTTTAATTCAATAAAATAGAAATCACGAGTTTGTTTGTAGTAAAAGGCGAAGACACTTGGCTATGAAATGGCTACGTCGTTCTTCAATATGGCGGACATATCTCTGGTAAATGGTTCAAACATAACATAAAAGCACATGATTTATAGATGCTCTAACAAATGTTTCAACAAATAAAGACAGTCGAAGGTTACGACTTGTAACAAGAGTTCGAAATCTTGAGTTACAGAGAATTCATAAAAATTCACTTCGCTCAATCTTGAGTTACAGGGAATTCGTAAAAAAATTCACTTCGCTCAATCTTGAGTTACAGGGAATTCATAAAAAAATTCACTTCGCTCAATCTTGAGTTACAGGGAATTCATAAAAAAAATTCACTTTGCTCAATCTCGAGTTACAGGGAATTCATAAAAAAAATTCACTTCGCTCAATCTTGAGTTACAGGGAATTCATAAAAAAAATTCACTTTGCTCAATCTCGAGTTACAGGGAATTCATAAAAAAAATTCACTTCGCTCAATCTTGAGTTACATGGAATTCATAAAAAAATTCACTTCGCTCAATCTTGAGTTACAGGGAATTCATAAAAAAAATTCACTTTGCTCACACTCGAGT